CACTTCTTTATCCAGATCGATTTTTAGAACTACCGCAACTTCTTTGAAGGGTTGGTGGCTGAATCGAAACTGGACTTTTTTTTTTTTAGGAAGTACTAGACTTTATTATGAAACTATATATATATATATATATATATATATATATATATATATATATATATATATATATATATATATATATATATATGTATATATATATATATATATATATATATATTGGATCCAATGAGACCTATAATTTGATGAGACGGTGAGACGTCATCTGGTTCGTTTATTTTTAGTTTTTAACGGTTTTGATTTATTGTTTTTAGATCTCATGTGTTGAAGATTTGTAAAGGAGCTAGGGTCATTGTGGTCTTTTGTTTTTGTATTTATTTCGGATCCTTAATTTTGGGGCGCGTGTGTATGATGTTGCAGCATTATTTTTGGGATCAAATCAATATTAATTTTTAGAATCCTCACCAGCGACTCTTCACATCGCCTTTGTCGCTTCACTTCCTCTTCTGTCACTTCTCTCCATCCTGCGACTCAAGGTTTCACTCCGATTCCGACGCAAGCTCTGAGTCATCTGTGTTTGGCGAGCGAGATCTTTTCAGGTTTTGTTTTACCGTTCGATTTTCTGAGTGTCCTTTTTTTCTTGGGTTCTATATTGGTTTGTTCTTGTGCTATGGGGGGAGGGTGGTTGTGTCGGAGGTTTTGGGGTGTTTATTTAGGTTTCCGGCGGGTTTTGGGGTTTGGGGTAGTGGCGTATTTTTTTTTGGGTGGTGTTGAGGGGGTTTTGTCGGTTTTGATAGTTTTTAGTGTTTTTTTGTTTAGTTTTTGGGGGTTTTCCGGCGGGGGTGGGGTTTCTGGTGATGGGGTTTTGTTTTTGTTTTTTGTTTTTTGGTTTATTTATTTATTTATTTATTTTTGGGTCATTTATCCTAGCTTTGTGAGACTGACTCATCCTATAGCCTGTAGGATTTGAATAATTTTTTGACTTTGAAAGGTGAAAGTAAACCTCTTAGGGGTCCTTTGGTTCACGGAATGTCAGATGTTAGATTGTTGGGAATGTTAGATTACTGGGAATGTTAGATTCATGTGTTTGGTTAAAATTGAGGTATGTAATATAATCATGTTTGGTTTAGGGTTATCTTTTATTCACACACATATTTTCATATATTTTAATAAATTTAAAAATTAAAATAAATAAATAAAATAACGGTATCATATATAATTACATGATTTTAAAATATTAACTAAAATATTGAACTTGAGAAACAAAATTATTTTATATGCTAACCTAACATAATAAAAATAAAAAATATATAATTACAAAAATAATTTTATATATATATGTGTGTGTGTGTGTGTAAGAAACTAACATAACCAAGGTTATCTTACATAACCTTAGAAATTGAAGGGAATCACATTCCCTTCAAAATCCTACGTGGAGGGAATGTGACATTCCTGGGGAATGTTAGATTCCCTGAGATAACGTGAACCAAACATAGGAATGTGAGCTTTGGAATGTCACATTCCCTTGGTTATGTTATATAACTTGAACCAAACGCCCCCTTAATGGATGAATAACTTTTCAGAGCCAGTATTATGAGGTAAAACAATTTAAGCCTAATAAAATATACTCCCTAGATAATAATTTTAACAATTACGTATTCAATTTCTAAGTTCTCAATTTATGATTTTGGCTCTAAATCTGATTAAAATAGTGTCCAAATTTTGACTGAATATCAATATTTTGGCTTGTCTCATCTGCTACACATTTTTGTTAATCTTTGTTTATTAAGGAATATGCGTGTTAGTAATGAAGCATGTGCGTTTCAACTGCACATTTTTGTTAGTCTTTGTTTATTAAGGGATATGCGTGTTAGTAATGAAGTATGTGCGTTTCAATGCTACAATTCTGCTTCCAGTCTTTGTGTATTAAGCTCTGAGCGAAGAGGTGATGCGTGTGTGCACATTCATGTCTTGGTTGGTGCGTTATAAGTAATAAGCTAGTACGTACTATTGGGATGCTGGGAGGGGAATTCTGGTCTGTGCGTTGGGGGAAAAGTTGGTGCTCACGAGTATAATAATGTTTTTTACTATTTTGTGATAATTTTTTGTTGATAATAAGCATTAATTTTGGTATGTTTATGTGTCACGACTGTACATTTGATGCCGTCCGAGAATGTTGAAGGTATTTCTTTTTATGAGATATTTGAAATTTTGGTGATATTTTTTTGAATTCTTGAATTCATATATTATATTTTATTTTGTTTTTATAAACTTAATATACCCATCTAATTCGTATCCCATTAATCAAATCCATCTTAGCTTATATTGCTTTACATATGTGTATTTCACATTAAATATTGTGTAGCATATGAGAGTATATATTAGAATGTGTGTTGTTGGTATGAGGTTTGTGCGTAATATTGTATTTTTAGGATCTACATTTACGTGTGTACGGTGGTGTGGGGAAGTGTGTGCGCTTGTTGGACATATTTGGAGTTGGGGTTCATTAATGTTGGTTTTGTTAGAAGTATCTGGATTTTTTTTTTTTTTTTTTTTTTTGTGTATATAAGGTAGCTTTAATCATGATTGGCTTGTCATGTTCTCATTTATTATAATATATATTGTAGAGCATATTGTACTGGCAAATAGTGTGTGCGTTCTTGGGGTGAGGTTTGTGCGTAATATTGTCATTGCTAATTGGTTGGTGCGTTCTAAGTAATAAGCTAGTGCGTAATATTGGGCTGCTGGTTTCCCGATTCTGGTCTGTGCGTGGGGGGGGGGGGGGGGGGGGGGAGTGAGTGCTCAGGAGTATGATAATTTTTTTTTTTTTTACTGTTTTGTGGTATCTTTTGTTGCTAATAGTGCATCAATTTTGGTATGTCTAGGAGTCACGGCTGTAAAGACGGTGGATGCGGTAGAGGCTGCACATTTGATGCCGTCCGAGGATGTTGAAGCACCCCCTGTTCCGTAACCAGACACGAATTCGGATGAGGAGGATGATGGGCTAGACGCGAATGACTTGAAACTATTTCCGCTTTTGAAGATTCGTGCTTCTCCCAAGCATTTGGTCGCACCGATGAGGCAGTTTAATGCTTGTCAGAAGAGAGCTGTGGTCGAGTTGGGGTTAGGAGAGTTGTTGAATCTTCAAATCCACGAAGGTTTATAGCTTGTGTGTAATCTTGTATTTTTATGAGGGACAATAGGTGCGTTCTAGGCCAATATTTAAGTCCCTAAATTAGTCACGAGCGTAACAAAATTGATGATTACATAATTGTAATTCTTTTTGACTCCTTGAATATATATATTTTATTTTATTGTATTTTTATAAACTTAGTATTCACCTTCTAATTCGTATCCCATTCATCGAATCCACCTTAGCTTATATTGAATTACATTTGTATATTCCACATTACATATTGTGTAGCATATGTGCGTTCTTGGGGTGAAGTGTGTGCGTTTACTGTAATTCCTTTCTTGTTGATGCGTCCTACGTATTATGCTTGTGCGTAATGTTGTCCATTGTGCAATTGGCTAACAAACGCACAAACCAATACAGTAGTCCATAAGATGTTATGAATAATATAATATTATCTTCCATAAATAATCACAACCATTACATTAGATCATTGTAATACACAGAATATTTTATTTGTCATCACGCACAGACAACAAATAATACACACACACACAGGCCAACGTGAATTCATGCACTAACCAAATACCACCCATACCGTCTAATTCATACCAAATGAGCACACAATTTCATTCCACTCACATCCATTATATCAATCATTTTCGGCTTCACAATGAATGTCACACCGCACAGGCCGACGTAAACAAACGCACACACAAAACTATTATGGCCCATGACGCACACTCCGTCGTAAACAAGAAAACAGTCATACCGTCTAATTCATTCAAAATGAACATACAAATTCCTTTCACGCACACCCATTGTAATAATAATTTTCGGCTCCACGATGAATGTCACACTGCATCAAAACCCTCGTAATGCACGTCATGTCAACGCTAGCTGAAAAAATGCACCCACCGCCTGTCCCCCAACTACCTACCTGCGTAAACATTCTTCTATTTACTAAAAAAACACACAAAAACGTCCCAATTGTTTCGTGTTCCCCTTGCATATTAATTTAAATACAGCCACCAACAAAAAATAATGACAACAGTGTAAAATTTTACTACGCACACGCCGTCGGACATGGATGCACAAACCAACGTACAAAGTTAATTACATACTTAAGTCAGCAACTCTCATACCTGCACTATTCGCCATCTTCAACCTCTGAAAATTCGTCCCAATCACAAATCAAAAGCTCACGGTTAAACTCCTACAGACATTGTCTAGAATTGACTACAACTTATTTCCATAATATTTGTAATCTTTGATTATGGCAAAGATTCCAATCTAATTCTAACCAAAATTAACACATTAATACAATTACTTTTAAACCCCCTATTTAAAATATGTCCTTATTTACATTATATTTCTCATTCAATCTCATCCATCCATTACAAATTTATAAATGGATGAAATCTCATCTCACCATCTCATTTAATAAGGGGGTCTCATGGGATCTGCACCATATATATATATATATATATATATATATATATATATATATATATATATATATATATGAGATCGCCAGCTAAGAAACGGAGCTCCGTCAAAGGTTCAAAGCTTCGGTCAGAGGCCACCAGATGAAGAAGCGCCTCATCATCATGATGATATAACTCTAATATTAAATCTTACGAATTATATTTTAAATTAGTTAATGATAATACATTATCTAATTAAAAATAAATAAAAATTTATTAATCTAACAAGTTTTATAGTGTTTGCGAAATGTTTGATGGGTCACAAGATCTCCTTCCTAATCCTAAAATTATGGCCCCGATAATTTCTACGACTTGGAACATGCAAATACCAGGGAGTATTTATTATTTCCCAAAGCATCCCTCCCCCTTAGCTTGCATTTCCCCTCCGGTTGCTGCCACCCTCTCCCTCCCTCGTCGTCCCTTCTCCGGCGGACGGCGGGTGGACCTTCTTCCCCTCCGGTTTGATTCATACGCATATATACATAATAAAGATGGCAAATACCAAACCCTTCCGCCTCTTGGAAATAACCATAATTTCGGCTCAAGATCTGGAGCCGAAAGCCAAGATGAACATGCGTACGTACACCACTGCGTGGATCAACCCGGCCCGGAAGCAGACCACCATTCTCGACACAGAGGGCGGCAGCAATCCCATGTGGAACGACAAGTTCGTTTTCAAGGTGGATGAGGCGTTCCTCCGCCAGGAAACCTCCGCCATCGAATTCGAGATTTACAAGATCACCTGGTTAGGTGACTCCCTCATCGGAACCGTTCGCCTCCTCGTCGGAAACCTAATTCCTCCCCCCTCCCCTCCCAACCACCACCAAAATCTCGGCACGCGTTTTGCCGCCGTTCAGGTACCGCCTTCTTCCTTCCATCTTTTTCTATTTGATTGAATTATATAATGGATGGATTTATGATCAAAATTGAATTGAATCGAATAGGTGAGACGTCCTTCGGGGCGGCCGCAAGGGATATTGAACATCGGCGTGGCGGTGCTGGATGGCTCCAAGAGGAGCACGCCGTTGGATCGATACGCCGCCGGATATGATAATAATAATCTTCATCGGAACAATAACCACCGCGGCCGAGAACTCAGCCGATCAAGGAGCGATCGGAGCGAATTTCTCGGACTGGACTCCGCTCCCTTGGACAGTGCGGCGGTTGCGATTCCGAAGAAGAGAAGAGGTAAGAGGATCGACGACGACAAAGAAAGCTCCATCCTCAGCATCTCTTGGTTTCCACCACCCCCGCCCCCGCACCTAATCAAAGAGACCAATGCCAAGAAAAAAGGTAATAAGAGGTTTGACGACAACGAAAGCTCCGTCCTTAGCGCCTCTTGGTACGCACGGCCCCCTCCGCCGCCGCCGTCAACAAAAGAGTCAAATCTCAATAAAAAAGGTAATAATAAATTTGACGACGACAAAGAAAGCTCCGTCCTCGGTATGTCTTGGTACCAAATGCCACCGCCGCCGCCGCCGGCGGAGGAGAAGAATGTCAGTAAAAAAGGTAATAAGAAGGTTGACGACGACAAGGAAAGCTCCGTCCTCGGTATGTCTTGGTACCAAATGCCACCGCCGCCGCCGCCGCCGCCGGCGGAGGAGAAGAATGTCAGTAAAAAAGGTAATAAGAAGGTTGACGACGACAAAGAAAGCTCCGTCCTCGGTATGTCTTGGTACCAAACGCCACCGCCGCCGCCGCCGGCGGAGACGAATGTCAGTAAAAAAGGTAATAAGAAGGTGAACGACGACAAAGAAAGCTCCGTCCTCGATATATCTTGGTACCAAATGCCACCGCCGCCGCCGCCGGGGACGAATGTCAGTAAAAAAAGTAATAAGAAGGTTGAAGACGACCAAGAAAGCTCCGTCCTTGGTATGTCCTGGTACCAAGCGCCACCGCCGCCGCCGCCGATTACAACGGAGAAGACGAATGTCAATAAAAAATTTAATAAGTTTAACTACGACAAAGGAAGCTCCATCCTTAGTACGTCTTGGTACCAACCACAACCGCCGCCGACGGAGGAGACGAAAGGAAAGGCCTCGTCGGTGATCAACGCCGCCGATGTCAAGAACAAATCTTACCAGAAAGGCAAGGCGATCTCGGTGGTGAGCGATTCAATCACGATCAAAGATTCTTCACCGTCCGGAAAAATCGGTAACAAGAATGAAGCGCAAGCGAAAAATAAGGAGGTCGTTGAGAACAAAAATGGGCCTCGCTTTGATGATAGCCCAACAAATAAAACGGTTGACGGGAAGCCCAATATCCCGAAGATCCCGGGATACGATTACGGGAGCGCAAAGCCAGGGACGGGGAGTAGGCTGGTGATTGGAGGAGGGCCGTACAAGGCCAACTCTATAATGTCAGACTCGGAGGTGGGGCCATCGCCGTCGGAGGTGGCGGCGGCGATGGCGGAGCGGCCGAGGTACCCGCTGGAGGACTCGGTTCTGGACGGGTGGAGCTGTGATGAGAGCGTGGAAGGGTTACGGTCGAGGCTGGAAAGGTGGCGGACGGAGGTGCCGCCGTTGTACGACCAAGTAGGGTACGCCCCCACCAGCAGTAGCTTCCGGTCGTCGAGCCAATACACGGCCAAGAAGCGCGGCAGCGGCAGCGGCGGCGGAGGCCCCCTTTCTTGCTTCGGTAACATATTTGGATACGAGTGTCAGTGCGTTTGCGGTCAGCCGAAGACGAAAACTCGCGCCGGCGCCGCCGCTGCCAAAGGACGCGTTCGATCGCCGTCGCCCTTCCGTTAACATATCCATTGCATTGCATGCATGGACGCGCCTGCTCATTCTTCTCTCACTTGTTCATTTTTTCTTTTTGGCTAAAATATCAATTTCATCCTTGTAATTTTGTCATTCTTCACATTAATTTTTGTGACAAATTTTATAACATTGCGGGCTTAAAATTGTATCTTTCTTATACTTTGCAAATTATATTCTCTTATATGTGTTCCTCACTAAATACAGTGTATAACTTTGCAAATCATACAACATTATAATGAATTGTAAAAATTTTCTTATAATCCAATTTACAAGGGAAGGGATACCCAAACTACTAATCGCTCGAACCTATCACCTAGGGGAGCAAATAAAAACGTATATGGTTGTTAGTGTTGGGTATGGTCAAGACTATCATTGGCTAGTGGGTAACCTAAGTAACGTTAGGCTGTGAGCACGTGTCCACCTTACATAATTTCTATATTCATAATTTCTATATTACTTTAAATTCATAATTTTTAAACCGTAATTCATAATTTAAATACAATAGATTCATAATTTCTATACAGTATATTCATAATTTCTATATTGCAGATTCATAATATCTGGACTGTAAATTCATAATTTATGTACTGGAAATTCATAATTTTTAAACTGTATAGTTATTAAATTATGAACATATAGTTCTCTGATTTATGAAAACAGAGTTCAACAATTGGAATCTAAAATATAAATTTTATAAATCTATAGTATAGAAATTATAAATCTACAGTATAAAAATAATGAATAGTAGTATAAAAATAATGAATATACAACTACGCCAACCTTGTAAGTGCTCACGGCATAATTTGCAATAACCTAAGGACTGGACCAATGACAAAACACTAATTTAAGGCCCGACCAATTCTCTATTAGTCATATCTAGGCCTAGTTTTGGATCTTGCATAATCCTCGACATCAACCCAAGTTTTAGAATTAGGAGAGCCCTCAACCTTGACCCAATGTTTGTTCCTCGGTAAATTATTGTATGAAACATGGTCCATATAGTTGTATGGACCATGAATGTAATATATATTTTTAATATATTAAAATATATTAGAACAAATTGTACTTTTGATCCTGTGACTATTAGGGTACTGATAATTTGAGTACGTGACTTTCAAAATTCCCAATTTAAACCTTTAACTATGCAATTATTAGTAGATTTGGTCCTCCCGGCCAAATTGTCGGCCAATTTTGGCCGGAAAAACATTTAATGTTTCGAATTAATTTCTGATGAGGGTAAAAACGTCATTGCTAGTGTATTTCACCACCGAAGTGACGACGGCGAGCTCCGTGTCCGTGAGTTTGTTGTACACCAACTCGAACTCCTGCACGATTTCATTGATCAGCTCGATGCGGTCCATGTCCACGAGGATGTTGAGGAAGTTGACCACGTGCGGCTGGAGCTCAGACGACTTGGCGATCTCGGCAATTACCTCCCGCTTCTTCTCATCGCTCATGATAGGGTTAGCGAAGAAATCGAACACCGATTCCTCCGTGAAGACTTTCTCGATCTTCTCCAAGTCGCCCGCGGTTGTCTCCATAGTTCCGTTCGACTTGGCGACGTCGCAGAGCGCGACGGCGTAGCTTTCTGCAGGCAAGTCAACCATTTTGGCACCAAGCACCCGCGGTCGCCGCTTCTGAGCATAAGTAAAATGATTTAAGCTCTAAGATCGATCTCAATTCGCAGTTTTCCTCCTCAAATTAAGGTAGGATGAGGATGAGAATTGCAAATTGAGATCGATCTTATCTTAGAGCTTAAATCACTTTATTCATGTTCAAATTGGGATCTTAAGTTGAAAATGATGAAAATACTCATAAAAATCTTAGATTTTGCCATGTCGTAAAAAGAAGAGTGAACAGCGTGATAAATTTTGACATTAAAATAATAATCGTGGATGAAAATTAGTATGAATTTTGGAATCGTTCCAATTCAGTTCTAACCGTAGATGGTTCGATTCGAACCAGATGTCATCCTTACAGGTCATACCTATCACTACAGTATATTTTTTGCTTTGCAAAGTTATATTCTCTTCTTTATATATATATATATATATATATATATAAAAGATATAACTTTGTAACATTTTTAAAAATGTCAACTAAACATTACAATACTTTGAATAAAGTTTCATTAATTGGGATCAGACATATAAAATAATTTAAATGGGAGAAATAAAAATTTAAAAAAAAAATTAAAATATTAAGGAATAAATAAAGAAATGGAAGAGATAAGAGGTGTGCAGAGGGTGTTGGGTTTGAAGGTGGAAGGCACAATAATGAGCGTATCTTAGCTGTGGACTTACGAGGAATATCCTCCACTCTGCCCCTCTTTAAACCCAACCCCTCTGCCAAATGCTTTCCTCCTTTTTTTTTTTTTTTTTTTATAAATATATAAGTTTTATATACTAATATTAAATATAATATTATAGAAAATAAAATTTCAATATATTATAACTGACACACAGCAAATATACATCAATCACCATATCTACTGTCTACACTTCGACACATTCTGTAAAAAGAGTTTGAAAAAAAACATACACTTTGACACAAAGTAATTGTGACAGACTTCCAAAATTAAAAAGGTGGTAATATTTTGATATATTAACTACATTAAAATAAGAATAAAATAAATATATATTTTTTTTTTTTAGAGAAAGAGGCATGGAAGATAGTTCTGCACTTCTGCTGAAGATTAAAATTATTCCATATATTTATCTTGTTAGTACTGATGAATAAGTTAATACACCAAAATAATATTATATATATATATATATATATATATATATATATATATATATATATATATATATATATATATATAAATAATATTTTGATATATTAACTACATTAAAATAAGAATGAAATAAATAAATATATATATATATATATATATATATATATATATATATATATATATATATATATATATTTTAGAGAAAGAGGCATGGAAGATAGTTCTGCACTTCTGCTGAAGATTAAAATTATTCCATATATTTATCTTGTTAGTACTGATGAATAAGTTAATACACCAAAATAATATTATATATATATATATATATATATATATATATATATATATATATATATATATATATATATATATATATATATATATATATATATATATATAATATTTTGATATATTAACTACATTAAAATAACAATGAAATAAATATATATATTTTTTTTAGAGAAAGAGGCATGGAAGATAGTTCTACACTTCTGCTGAAGATTAAAATTATTCCATATATTTATCTTGTTAGTACTGATGAATAAGTTAATACACCAAAATAATATTATATATATATATATATATATATATATATATATATATATATATATATATATTTTAGAGAAAGAGGCATGGAAGATAGTTCTGCACTTCTGCTGAAGATTAAAATTATTCCATATATTTATCTTGTTAGTACTGATGAATAAGTTAATACACCAAAATAATATTTTATATATATATATATATATATATATATATATATAATATTTTGATATATTAACTACATTAAAATAAGAATGAAATAAATATATATATATTTTTTTAGAGAAAGAGGCATGGAAGATAGTTCTGCACTTCTGCTGAAGATTAAAATTATTCCATATATTTATCTTGTTAGTACTAATGAATAAGTTAATACACCAAAATAATATTATATATATATATATATATATATATATATATATATATATATATATATATATATATATATATATATATATATATATATATATTGGTTCCTGTGAGAACAGGTCTTCCCGTGCACTCAGTGAGGCATACACCATTAGGTATGCATAAATGCATCATACAATGTTCGAGAATACACCAGAATGAAATGTCAAAAATGTACCACACAAAATGGTGTATTTTCAAACACTGTGTGGTGTATTTATGCATACCTAATTGTGTATGTCGCACTGACTACACGGGAAGACCTGTTCTCATAGAAACTTGACCTTATATATATATATATATATATATATATATATATATATATATATATATATATATATATATATATATATATAATTCAAAAATCTATGGAATTTATAATTTACAAAAAATAATCCTAACCGTAAACTAGTACGAAACTAGCTAGTATAAAAGGATTTAATTTTTAAGAAAAATTAATCCCACCACAATTTTGGTACGAAACCAAAACGATATTCATATATAATATATACAAAGATGAAAAATGAGTTTTTCAAACATGAGGTTTAAACCCTACGAGAAAAAGAGAAATTATAGTCGTGTGATACTCACATTCTCCTTAAAATTGATTCGCTATCTCTTGATGGTGTTAGGAGCGTTGTAGCGTCTGTCTCACTTGATAAAACAGATTACGACTTTAGTGTTTGAGCACTCAAGCCTAAAGTCTAACGAACTAGAACATAGGGCGAGCAATCCGTACAATTTACGGAAGTGTTGGCCGAATTTCTTTAGAAGAAAACGAGTTTGAGAGGAGGAGAGGAAACTATTTTGACAGTTCAAAATCAACAACAACAGTCTCATTTTGGTCAGGTACAAGAGTCAAGCCTTTCCAGGCTCATTTTAGGATTTGATTTGCACCCCATTTGCGAGAGAGAGGACCTCTTATGCTTTAAAATTCAACATGCCTTTAAAAGGCTCTTGTGTTAGTATATATATATATATATATATATATATATATATATATATATATATATATATATAGGGGTGCAAACCCACTTCTCAAACCAATGTGAGACAGGTGCTTTTACAGAGCATTTCCACTTTTATTTTCAACTCAAATGGGTCTAATTTGAGAATCAATTTATCATTCACTCATTACCCATTTTGAGTATACAATATATCAATCTCTTCGTCTCATTGCTAAGAACCCGAATCCACTTTGATCCGACCCCAAATTAAAAGTAGACCCCACATATATTTATAGCACAAAATAGTCACGTATAATATCATTTTATGCTAAAATTCCAACATATTTTTCATTACAAATTAAACAAATATGTATAAATTTATATGAAAATAGATATTATTCTTTTTTTTTTAAAGAAAGATATTATTTCTTTTTTTTTGACCTAAAAAATATTAACAATAATTAAACAGGTAATCATCTATATGCAAAAACCATACTTTATTCATTCGGTTGTTCCTTTTTGGAAAATTTTGAAACTTTATTAGCATTATCGATGAAGATTATCTAC